AATTTCAAGGCAATGACTCCCTGTCCATGCTCAACCTTGTCCATTCAAATTCAGCGTTCTCGCACTCTCAGGTACCACCTACGGCCTCGTGAAAATTTTGGCGGGTAAACTATTAACTCGGGAATCACGGAAAAATATTCATCCTTCAAGTTTTCGAATTCAGCTTTCATACGCTGATGCTAAAATTTTTAACTGCTTTCCAGTGTTTGAACAGGCAGTAAAAATCATTAATAGGCAATCGTTCGATGGGCTGAATTGCACAAAACGCATGATCGCACCAGCTACTCTGGTGCGCGTTGCCATTTATTTAAATTAAATATCTTATTGCAGCCGAATCACAAGAATCATTTTCAGGGCGGCTTTTAAAAAATTTTTTCCAAATAATAACGTGCATCTTTTTCTTAATTGACGCTAATTTTTATGCGTTTTTTGCAGCTATGCAATGCAGAAAACGCATATTGACGAGGGGTTGCCTGTGTGTGTGTGTGTGTGTGTATGTCTGTGTGTGTGTGTGTTCGTCTGTACCGATTTTTCATCTCGAGACCGACAAAAGCTACAGGGCTTGGGGACATAATCTACATGCACGTAAGGGCCACCATCTCCGAAATGATCGGTCTTACCCGCGTGGCACCCGCGTGAGAGCCCGCCAAAATTTTTTTGGGTAAGTTGATAATTCGCGAACCAGGAAAGTTAGGAAGCTGAAATTTTAAGGGAATCTTCCCCGTCCAATTAGGTGCTAATGAGCTCAAAACCAACTCTCGGGTGAGCGTGGTACCCGCGTACGGGCCAGCCAAAGTTTTTCCCGCGTAAATTCATAGCTCGGGCTCCTGAGAAGCTAGAAAGCTGAAATTTTAAGGGAATGTTCCACGTCCAAGTAAGTACTAATCGGCTCAAACTCAACCCCCAGGTATGCGTGGTACCCGAGTACGGGCCCGCCAAAATTTTTTACAGGAAAGCTGCTAACTCGCAAATCAGAAAAGCTAGAAAGCTGAAATTTTAAGGGAATGTTCTCCGTCCAAGTAGGTGCTAATGAGCTCAAACCCAAGCCCCGGGTAAGCGTGGTGCCCCCGTACGGGCTCACCAAAATTCTCCCCGCGTAAATTCATAATTCGAGTCTTTAAGGTGCTAGAAAACTGAAATTTTGAGGGAATATTCCCCGTCCATGTATATACTAATGACTTCAAACCCAACCCCTACGTAAGCGTGGTGCCCGCGTACGGGCCTGCCAAAGTTTTCCCCGGGCAAGTTCTTAACTCCGGGATCTGAGACGCTAAAAGACTGTAACATTAAGAGAATGTTTCTCGTCCACATTAGTCCCAACGAGACCAAACCCAGCCCTCGGTCACGTGTGGTACCTACGGGTTCACCAAAGTTTTGCTCGAGTAAGCTCATAACTCGAGAACCTGAAAAGCTAAAAGACTGTAGTTTTAAGAAGATGTTCTCTGTCCAGTTAAGTCTCAACGAGCTCAAACCCAGACGTCGGGTATGCATGGTACCCGCGTGTGGGCCCGTGAAATTTTTTTTCCAGTAAGTTGCTAACTCAAGAGCCAGGGAAACTAGAAAGCTGAAATTTTAAGGGGGTGTTTTCTGCCAGTTCTGGCACCAGTCTTAATTTGTTTAGCTAGAAACACTTGCCGAAAAAACCGACACCGGTAGCGACAAAAACTGCGGAAAACTATACAAAAAACGCATCTTCACACGGCAGCCCGTGCACTGGCCAGTTATTCCATTTCCTTTTAACTGCAGCTCGTATTTCATTAGAACGCGATTAGTACATGCTTTCAGGAGCAGGTTATTCATACTGTACAGTGCATTCAGCCCTTTTGCATTTTCTAAAAGCTTCAATCGAAATCGTGAACTTGTTGCATCATGACTCCCTCCTGAGTAGGTCGTGTATTGGCACGAAAGTGGCCTATGTAAGGCAATTCTGACAGCCGAACTGATATACTTACTGTCACCGTTTATCGTCCTGAACTCCCAACCAGCAACTTCATTCCTCCCCATTATTCTGGCTTCAGTCGTGCCCTCTGCGCTGCTTTTAGGCAACTACCAACAAATACCCCCAACCACGTCCAATCCGTGTCTTTATTTGTAAGTAGAGTCGATCTAGTGGAGAGTCGATCCAGTGGACTGTCGATCCAGCAAAGGCCGATCTAGTGTAGTGCGGTGATATTTTGGACGACTCACAGGGAACGTGGACCCTGCTCCTACCCCGAACAATCGCCAATGAGCCGACGACCCAACTGGATACACCGGATCACTGGGGCAGTCGAGGAGTCGCGCTCAGCTAGTAAGCCCAACAAATTCATTACTGTAGCCATAACTAACACATGCGGTTATCTCACGATTCAACGAAACGTGTGATAAGTTTTGGACGTTGATTGAACAACTAAGGGAATCGACAAACTTTCAGTAATGTATTAAAAATTGTACAACGAAGTGCTGCATCACTAATGCAAAAAACCTCTTCTATCTTTTCCTCCTTCCCTACGCCTTTGTTCTTCTCTCCTTGCCCCTCCTCGCGCTTACATATTGTTTCTTGCATTCAAAGCATACTTACTTTTGAATACGATAGGTTTGCTGAAAACCTTTTCGAGTTGAAAATCAAGCATTGCGTAAGGCTTTCGAATGCTGTACTGCGCTTCAGCAGCCAGTTCAGCCGCCGCGCCACTTCCTACCGCACTTTTTGCATTTAATTTGTATGAATTTCGTTCACCCACTTTCTCTGCCTGAAATACATAAAATATAAACCAAAGAAAAAATGATGGATAGTCTCTGCCTCCCCCTTAATTTTTGCAGTTCTTACTTCTCGCCTCAACCCTGACATTGCTACCGACTCATACCTGCTGCTTTCTTTTGATATTCACTAATCTACTTACTTCTTGACGTCACTTTTTATATTCGCAACTTTAAATCGCTGGTTTGCAACGTTGCCCGACTCAATTCATATGCACGTCGGGCAAGCCCTATTCAGTAGCATGTAATTTCGACCTCGAAACGAATGTCGATCAATTAATTATGAATGCAGAAGTGAAAATCATGGCGATGCGCACCAGGCGGGCCCGTGCGATCATGCGTTTTTGCAGTATTTCGTGTAGCAAGATCACTAGGAATTACAGCAGCTAGAATTTGTGACATATTGGTCCTCGAACTTCAGGAATTTAATTGTACAACTATCACGTGGTACTTTCAAAAGGAGCGTTCCTTTAAAGCTTCAACTTCCCAAATTTCCTAGCTTTCGAGTTAGCGATTTTTCCGCCAAAATTTTTCACTGGGCCAACGTAAGAACCACGCATGCATGGCGGTTGAATTTGAAATCTTTGAGTTCTGTACGGACGGGAGACATCTCCTCAACATTTGAACTTTCCAGCTTTTCTGGTTCCCGAGTTAACGATTTTTCCACCATAAATTTTCATGGAGCCACACTTAAGAACCACACACGTCCGGAAGCTTAACTTTAAATCTGTGTGTTCTACGTGGACGAGGAAAATCCTCTCAAAATTCCAGCCTTTCTGGTTCCCGAGCTCACGGCTTCCCCGTAAAAATTCTCACAGGGCCAAACATGAGAACCACGCGTGTCCGGGGGCTAAGTTTGAAATTTTCGCATCCTATGTGGATGGGAACATCTCCTTAAAATTTCCGAGCTAGCGATTTTCCTCCCAAAAACATTCGAGGGGCCGTACTTTAGTACCACTTAACTGGGGACTGAATTTGAAAACTTTAAGCCGTGTGTGGGCTGGAAAAATCCCTTGAAGATCTTAGCTTCCTATCTTTTCTGGTTCCGAGTTAGCGGCTCCCCACCAAAACCCTCACGTGCGCGAGGTCCAGGCGTGCGTGACGGTTGGTACTGCGGTCGTAGAGTGGCAACTGGCCGGAGAAAACGCTGACAATTTCTTAGCGCCGGAGACTGCTTGGTTGTTGAGGTGGAATACCTGGGCAGACACAAACATACACAAACACGCACACCAAGGGTCGTCGCAGTATGCGTTTTCACATTTGCATATACGCAAAAACGCGTAACTAAAGATGGCTGATGAATCACTGACGACGCGCACTGGGCGGGTCCGTACGATCATGCGTTTTTGCGGTGTTTCGTGCTGTAATGAGATCGCTCGGTTCGGAAACCCAGTAGCTAGAAATGTATGAAATACTGGTCCCCGAATTTCGGGAATTTAATTGTCTACGCTGCACCCGGACAAGAAACATTACCCAAAAATTTTAACCCCCCAGTCTTCCTGGTTCCGAAGTTAGCCATTTTCCCGCCAAAAATTTTCACGGGGCCGCACTTGAGAACCACGCATGCCCGGGGGCTAAATCTGATAAATTTAAGTTGCAGATGAGCTGGCAACATTCTCTGGAAATTTCAACTCCCCGGCTCCCCTGGGTCCGGAGTTAGCCATTTTCCAGCCATAAATTTTCACGGAGCCGTAAATGAGAACCTCGCGTAACTGAGAATTGATTTTGGTTAATTTAAGTTGTACATGGGCTGGGAACATTCCCTTAAAATCTCAAGCTCCCAGCTTCTCCAGTTTCCGAGTTACTCATATTCCTGCCAAAAATTTTCACAGGGCCGTACGTAAAAACCGCATCCCTGGGGGCTGAATTCGACAAATTTATTTTACAGATGAGCTGGGAACACCCCCTTAAAATTTCAGCCTCCTAGCTGTCCTGGATCCAAGTTAGCGATTTCCCCGCCAGGAAGGGCACGCGGGGACTCCACATACTTCGGGGCTGAATTTGAAATCTTTGAGTCCTCTATGGACAGGGAACACAACCTCAAAATTTCAGCTTTCTAGTTTTTCTGATTCCCGAGTTAGCGATTTTCCCGCCAAAAATTCCACGTGCTCGCACGCGGGGCCTAGGCGTGCCTGGAAGAAGGTATCGCGGTTCTGGGGTGGCACTTGGCCCAGGAACCCACTCGCAAGATTTCGACGCCGGAGCTTGCTTGGATGCTGAGTTGAAATACCCGGACAGACGCACACACATATATATATACACCGGGTTCGTCACAATATGCGTCTTCGCTTTTGCATATTTGCCAAAACTCTTAAAAATGATCCCGTAATTCAGTCGGGTAGCTCCATGTAATTGAAATGGATAAGTTTTCAAAATTTGGCCTTGATCGGCTTCATTTTTTCATATCATACAGTATTTGAATTTCCCATTTTTGTGCGTTTTTGCTGTACAGCGCTGTAGCGCTGCTACAGTAAGCAAAAATGCATATTGTCGAGAGATCGTCCGTCCATGTTTGTGTTTGTGTTGGGAAACGGATGAATTTTGTCACTCACTTTCAACTCAGCAACCAGTAAAGCTAGGAATCTAAAGTTCTGGGGGCATATTCCCACCCCCTGTGTCACCCTTCCATTTCAAAATCATCACTCACACGCGTCTAGATCTCGCGTACAGACCCCACAAAAAAATGTGCAAATTCCTTTAAGGGGGAACGACTCCGTCAGTCAGACAAGACAGAAAGCTGAAACTTCACAATGGTATCCTCAGCGCATGTTTGAACTAAAGATTTCAGATTCAGGTTTCGCGTACGCTTGCATCGTGCATGCGGCCGTGTCAAAGTCCGCAGCTGACACTGGCCGAAGTGGCTATTTTGCTTAAAGTTAAAACTTTGCAAGGATATTCTGCATTCACTTATGGCCCTAATTCAGCTTGGAGGTGAAATTCCGTAACAAATACTCAATTTTATCGCAAAACCAAAAGCGAGTGCATTTTGGAGATTTCGTAATCCCCTTCCCACTTCCTTCAAAATTCTCCTTTCATGCAGAAAAGGCCAAAACACAGCCAATATGGATACAAGTGTTAAATTACAGCGCAAGAACCATTCTTGTTATTAGCGATCTGCAAGTTTAGCATAAAAACGTATGGTCACACTGGCAAACCTGGTGCGTTGCAGCCTAGAGTTGGCTCTCGCATGATTTTATTTAGCATAACTAATTTTTAGGGCCGTCTAAAACTGCCAGGTGGTAAAATTTTGTAAAACGAGCCGTCGTCTTTTAGCAGCGATATCACATTTGAAAAATTGTTCCGACGAGTAACTGGCACATGACGAAATCAGTGAACAGTGGGATGCAGTAGCGAAAATGACTGAAGGGAGCTTGCAAATAGGTCTGCAGGCTATTACGACGTGTTTGCAGGCTGCAGACACTTCGTAGTAACTCCCATCTAGCCCACACATACGGCCTCTTTTTCCTCGCGGCTAAGGCGTGCAACATAAACTGCATCATGATTTGTTCATCGGCACATGCTTTACTTAGTTCCCATATCTCGGTCTTGATATTGTACTTGTAACAATGTGTTACGCAAAATACCTTGAGTGCACCGTCCAGAGTGTATGCTTGACCATCGACAGCAAGCTGCAGCTTGGCAGCATATTCCTGCATGTGCCTCACTTCTTGCAGGTCGCCGTCCAGCGAAATCGTCTTGAACGGCGTCGTAATACCCATTTTTAGCTTCTTGCGTGGGACTGACAGCTCGAAGTTGACCTCCATCTTGCGATTCACTTGCGACCCGGGTGTGTCAACACTGACTTTCAGTTTCTGCTCCCCTCTCTAAATTTGACCATTTTAATAAAAAAAACTGGCAAAACAGAAGAGGATTAAGGGGAAATGATTCTCTTTTTCATGAAAAATTTTAAAAATTTTTTCTTTTCCTTAAAATTAGAAGTAATTTAATACTCTTTACCGCCTTTCACATTTAACTGTTACTAGGGCTGGAAATGCATAGCTCAGGACTAAAGGGAATGGCAGAGCTGTTCTCTGCAATTGGGAACAACCAGTAACACTACTAATAAGATACTCACGCCGATCCGAGCGAACAGCTTGTTAAATTTTATTTAAAAAAAAAAAAAAACTTTGGTCAGTATCATCTACAAATTTACTTTTACTACATTTGTTTTTTATTCGATTGAGATTATAAATTTACTGTCTTCAAATTTTTTGCCTTCCAACACAAACTGTGATATCCTCACTGACTTTTTGCTTCTCACAAGACCTTTCATCTTTGGATATTATTCGGCAGTGATGTTTTCTACTATATATTTCTGTCCATCTCAGTTCTTTATTCCATGCTACTGACACGTATTTCCACGTAATTGTTACAAATGCCTAGATCACTAGACGTGGAACAACATTTTGCCACCAATCCTTCAGTACTGTTCAAAAATGAGTAAAGAGTCCCAGCTGAGCTTTATAAAATTGCAAGCCATCGTTTTCAATCAGTCTGCCAGTCACGATAAGCCCTGCTTCAACTTCTCTCAGGCAATTAACATGATATATCATAATATGAGAATGCAGTTTAGGTGAGTGCAAAGATGGCCACCTGAAAGGCCATGGATCCAACAAATTGTGGAGCTAAACGAACAAAACATTCAAAGGCTTGCAGAAGAAAGCCACCACAATTGACTTCACTTCAGAAGCAGGGTCGCTGTCACATCCACATTTTATCCAATCGTCAAGCAAGATACGCATATACTTGCACACAGAGTTGTCACGTGTATGATACGTAAGAAGCGAAACACAAAAGGCACAAAAGCATAGCGAAGATTCACAGCGCTTAAGATCGGCGCAATGGAAATTTATGCACAATATCTATGTAGGAAAGGCTACAACGCGGGTTATTAATGGTGCTAGCGAACTTTCCAACAGAAAGAGCACAAACGAGTTCCGAACGCAAATAATTCCACACCTGAACTATTTGCGCACTAAAGAAGCTCAATGCAACACGACGTCGGACTAGAAATTATGCAAGTTTTTATTTTGTCCCTTTCATGCTAAATTCTCCAAACGCTGCAACAGTAATTTGTTGGATATGCGCAAACTTACGTCGCTTGCTCTTTCAACAAGCAACTGATAGCTATTCAGAGCAGGATCGGCCTTCTCCAATCGAATCGTTCCTTCCAGCACAGGGAAATCAGCGCGAATCTGAATTTCCAGAATGAATGTAAAACTCTTAATTACTGAAAAAATATTCTGGAAATTTCTTCATTTTTGCGACTGCAAAAAAACTTTCAGTAAGTTGCCTTCTACTGCATATGCGAGAATCAATAAATTGCTTTAAAGCTGGGTTATCCGTGTAACAATCACGCTTCGGCACCCGGGAGTTGCCTGCAATATTAGCTGCCGCTACCACAACGGATAAGTCTTTATGAGAGTCAACATAGTGTACTACGCATTATCAGCTGCAGCCATTCTCCGCTAGCCCTAACATAGAGGCGCTCCATCTTTCCTCTCCCTTTCTTTTCCGTCTTCTGTTCTGTAATGTACAAGGCTTCTCACTCTCCAAAAAATGCCTACACATATACGTACAGGCTTAGTCATTTTCACTTTGTACTTCATACCAGCAGTAAAAAAAATGAAAATTACGTTGTAGCATGCTCTCAGGCCAAGAATTTTCGCCAAATTTTCACCGGAGCAATAGCGCTGATCAACAGCTTGCCGAATTCGTCGTATGCTAACCAGGGGCTGATGTCGATTCATTTCCACTTTCACAGCATCATTTCTGAAAGCAGTGTCGCTCATCATTATCTGAATTTTTGTGACTTGTTGTTCTAATAACTTCCTGAAGGTTTCTAAAGAGATTGAAGTCCCAGGCCAAGTTGCAAAAGATGAAAAATTTAGTTCAAGTTGGCTACGGAAAAATCAATCAAAATATTTAAATTTAAAAAAAAATACTGCAGCAATTTACCGGAATTTTGCAATAAAAATATCATGATGTGGCACTTCAGCCTTCACCGATAATCTGCTGCCTTGCCTGAGCTCCATCTGTCTCAAGAAATCCGTAGCTCCGTATAAGTTAGAGGAGGCAAGAGCACCGGATGCGACGTGACCTGCACGCAGCAGCACCCTAGCCCCCAGCGAAGCAGACACGGAAGGACGGAATTTAACCTGAAATGCAGTGCTGCTACAAAGGTTGCAGCAAAACACAACTACGTCGTTTAATTAGCTATGAAACCCAAATGCACAGCTGAAAGGAAACGCCTCGAGCGACGACGTGAAAGAGACGACTGGGCTGGTTGACCAAAAAAACAGTTACCTGAGCATCAGCGTCACCTCGCTGTCGTAAGAGCTCCACAAAATTTAGCCTCATTTTGCCATCCATTTTGAAGGCAAGCGAAGCGTTGAGCATGAATTGAAGGGGCAATCCGGAGAGGGTCGGGAACACACGCGAAAGCTCGAATACCAGCATGTGCCGAGAATACTGAAATACGCACAAGTCCGTTTAAAAATATTTTTTATTTTCGTTAAGTTCAACAATGCGGCTGTTAGACTTTTCAAATGTTTTTGTTGATGCAGCGTGAAAATTGAGGCGAAACATAAGCGTATATGTGAATGTTGCATGCCTGACTGTTCGACTATAAATGACTCCGAAACTATGAAGGTTAAGAATTTGAAATACTTTGAACAAAGTCCTTAACGTGCACGAGCCTACGCCAACTTTCTGAACTATTCTACATTTTCGCTCTTGATCCCAGGTATATTTTTGGTGCTAGCTTTTGTGGGTGCAAAATCAAAGGACTCGTACCACTAAAATTCCTGGCTGTATAAAAGGACAACCTAAAGCAATATATTGGACTTAAGTCTAAATTTAATT